TAGTTTGCATATGACATTATTTTTATTGGATATTTTTTCGTTTCAAAAACTAGTTACAACCTCGTGAAAGTCGAAGGACTTGTCTTACAAGCCAATACTACTTTATTTTAAATTATCTTTACATCAATAAATGTTGACTTTATAGATGACTAATTTTCTTTACACAATATTAAATTTATAATTTATTTTTATATAATATTCAATTTTTTATAAATAACACGAAATATCTACTAATTTTATAGATGACTCAATTTGCCAAAATAATTAAGTTAATTATTATTATTATTACTTGTGCATTATTACGAAGGTGAAGGAATTCAATATTTCTATAACTATAATAATAACCCATTGGTATATAATAAATAATATAAGATTTTAATAGCTAAAATAATAATACTTTTATAATAAATTACAAACTTCTTTATTTATATATTATTTTTTCTTTGGTCATAAATTACTCAATCAATTTATTAATCATATAGATTAAGTTGATGTTAAATTGTTGAGAAATATAATTATATATACTGTTACTTTTACTCCGTTAATTAATTAGAAATATTTTACACATAATTGATAACATACTAATTTCTATAAAATTAAAAAATCATTTTAGTCTATATAATAGATTTTATTTTTTAAAACCATTTACGTTATTATTATATTTTTATTGTGTTGTGATGGTTTTATGTTGTCCCACGTACGTGAGATTTGAAAATAACTTGTTATATCCCTGATTTGACCCACATTTTATGGTTAAATATGTATAAGATATTTATATAAAAATATGCATGGTGAAAGACCAAGAAATACTAAACCTCTAAGAACATGGTTGTTCAATTTATATGAATCTTAGGTCACTTTGGTCGTTCTTTCAAAAGTTTTCTTTGACTTGGGTGACTTCCCATGTGATCCATGGCATAAAATAGTTCCAGATTTTCTCAAAAAATTTGAATCATTACTTTTAGGATAAAGTTAACAAATTAGAAGAAAATAATATTAAAATGTAATTATAGATGTTTTTTATTGTGATTTTTCATTAATTGTTTATTTAATGTCATGATGTTGTTTTGAATGATGAGATAGATACTCATAATGGAGTTAGTCAAATTTGTACAAATTCATAAAGTTAATATTTGTAAAGTTGAATAAGATCAGGTGGATTAAATTTCAAATACACATTTTAACTTTGATTTATGATATAAAATGTGAATGTTCTTATCTTCATAAGCCCATTTGAGTGGCTAAAAATTCATAAGAAAATTTAATGCATATCCTCATAGAATTCACTTTTTCTAAAGTTCATTTATTTTAGTTCTATGATAAAAGAAAAATATATTTTTGACTTTTTTTTCATGATAATTGATATTTAACATTTTTTTAAATTACGATAATAATTGAATTTTAATGGATCAATCTGAATGATGTATATTTCATGATCTATCGATTCAAACTCTGTCGTGTAACAGAAAAAGAGAAAAGTTCATTTACAAAATACTTTGATATTAAATTAGTATGTAAAAAAATTAAAAAAAAATGTGTGAAAATGTAAAATAAGAGAATAAATTAATTTTATTTATAATATTTTTATTAAAATATTTTAAATAGTAATTTATATTTATTTAATATCAATTATTATCTAAATTTTAAATAATAAAAACATAGGCACACATGCGGTCTATATTTTAATATATATATATATATATATATATATATATTTTTATTTATGAAAATTTAATTTATATATTAATTTTAAAATATAAATATTCTATTCTTAAAATTATGAATCAAGATAAATAAAAATGGAAAAGTTTTAAGAAGAAAAATTGAATACAACATGCAATCAGATAAAGAAGAATGAAATAATATTTTTATTATTTTTATTTATTATATTATATTAAAAAAGGAGATTAAAAAAAACTTCAAAATCGAAGAAAGTGGAAGAAAGAAAATAATTAATATATATTATCATAATATATATTAAAAGAATTTAAATGTGAGATATTTTCAATTAATATAATTACTGAGAAAATTGAGATAAATATATTTTCTTTTTCAGTAATTATATCTATCACTCTCAAAGTTCATGTAGTTTGTGCATAAAATAAATAAAGCATAAAGATATCTCTTTGTGGTTGCATAGTTTTTGTTAATATATCTATTATCATTTTTTAAATTAAATTTTGCAAATGGAAGAATGAAATCCTCATACACCTGGCCTTTTAGATTAAACATTTATAATAATTTTTTTACGTACGTTTTATTAATTTTCCTTAAATATAAGAAGAAAAAAATGCCTAATTGGGTATTTGTTTCACTTTACCCTATTCTATTGCCATTTTAAGCCAGATACTAATTTTTTTATGCACCCATATTTTTGTAAAATAATAGTGGTATAAAAGTAGTTTCTAAAATAATAAAAATAAATTGTACAATAAAATGTATAAACTAAAAATAATTATAAAACTTATATTTTTTTCATATATTAGTATAGGTAAAATATGAGATATAATTTCTACATTTTAAAATATTTATTGTAATATAATTTATATTTTAAATTTATTTGTTGTTATTTTAATTATATAAACTAATTTTTATCGTGTATATATACACATGGTTAAAACAAAAAATAAAATAAATGTAATAGTGAAACAAAATATGTCCGAAAGAAGAAACAATAATTGGATTGAAGCAACAGTGTCGTACCCAACGCAAATTGCAATACTTTGTTTTTCCGTGCTTTTCAACTCATTTTTCAAAGTCTTCACTGGACCCACTTTATATACGAATCTCTCCGTCATTGTTGACCCACCCAAATCATAATAATACCAATACTTTTTTACTTTTCAATTCAAATATATTTTTTAGAACTAATTTCCCATAAAATTCATTTTTGAAAGAAAAAGTTATTTTTAATTATCTTTATCATTTTTTTAAAATACTCGTACATCAAACCGAAAGAATGAAAGAAGAAGAAAAAGGATTGAACAAGAATTGAAACAAACGGTTCCACGACTTATTTTTTTTCTTGAATTTATTTTGTTATCACGTTTTTAAATAATAAATTAATAAAAAACAATAAGGTTGTCTAACGAGGACAAAATATCACATGTTTCCTCGTTAATGAAAAGATTTCACAAGGATTCTCCAACGAATATTTATGTTTAAAATTGGATGAGTTTCATTTTGAACCAGGAGGGATTAGTTATATTACAATAACAAAATTTGATTAATTATGTAAATACTTAGGTAATAATAATCAGGTTGAAGATATTATCTGTTTTAAAAATAAAATATTTGATGAATTGAGAGATAAGAATTAATATAAGAATTATGACTTGTGAAATTCTAATTATATTTTAATCTATTACGTACACGATCAATAATATTATTGTTGAATTAAAAAGGAATTAAGAAAGGTTAACACGAAAAGTAGCATTTAGGTAATGCTATATTTTTCTTAGTGTTTGTCCTGGATCAGTAACTAAGGAAATTCAGGAAAACATGGTATATATTGAACTGTTTTTTGTTTCCACCTACGTATGTACTTCCGAAGATTCACATATTCATGAATCGGGTTAAGCACCCAAAAGGATAAAGGTAGAATAAGAAACGTATCCAAGTGGCAAAAGAAAAGAAAAAATTGAGTGTAAAAGAGAGAGAAAAATATTCGAAAAAAATGGATTTTGTCTTAATCATGATGAATATTATTATATATCTAAAATTCGTAATGAGTTTCACCGGCGACTAGTAGAGCATTATCCAAAGCAACCAAACATATCACACATTTCATATTCATCCATTTTAATAATATTCAAACTATTCAGAAACATGTTAAATACTAAAAATACTAGTTAAAGAGAAATTGTTTTTTCACCATTATTTTTTATTAAAATTATTAAGTTATTTAACCCTAAATTAGGTTAACATTAATGTATTATATACTTGTTTCTAATATTTCAGCTAACTTGATGTAGACAACTTAATGATATTGAGGAAAATAAACTCAATTTGAGATTAAATTGACAATAAAAATAACAAATAAATAAGGACCAATAAGAAATTATAAGAAAATCCTTTTTTTTTTTAAATGTTTATTTACCCTAAAATATATTATCCAAATGATTATGCATTTCAAGTGTGTATAAGAGGTAATCCATAAGCATGATGGAGTCCCTGTATCAGAATCAAGTGCCACAGTATTTCCAATCCATTCATATGACTACATTTTTTTTTAAATAAAATACAGTGTATGAAAAATATTACCTATCTTAATTAACACTTATGATTCTTATGTTAATTAACACAATATCATTTCTGTCCTTTTATTATGTAAAAGTAAAGAGAGAAGTTCAGTTGCGATTTCTTAATTAAGTTGGAAATTAATCTTCATATCTTAGTTAAACAATGCAAATCTCGAATCATTAATAACTTTCAATTAGATATTGTTTATGACTCACTATATCAGGACACGAATAATATTTATTAACTAAAAGTATATATTTTTTATATTATTTGATAATTAACATATATTAATTAAGTTGTATAATATTATATGGTAAATTGTAATGGCAGAAATTGATATGCATGTTAAGGTAATAATAATAATAATAGTAATAAACAATGCCTAAAAGGAATAATTTTCAGAGAGAAAATAGAAAATATGGCAGAGACAGTGAAAATAAAACGATTTGTTTAGGTGAGAGCGAGAGAGAGAGAGAGAGTTGGGAATTCTAGTTCCCACATGTGAGAGACCTGAGTCTCTGGTGACGAATGCATATGCACGCTAGTTTGGTCTATTTAAGCACGCTGCCAGAACCCAACATTCACATTCAACTCCACTGCACTGCTTAATTTCTCCCTTTGCTTATCTTCACACTTCATATTATCACCCAACAATTAAATACATGTTACCAATTTAACACGCTTTTCTCTATTTTTCTCTCATATTTTCCCTTCTCAGGATATTCACTTCACCCACTACTCACTCAACACTCAACAACATGACTGAGGGAAAGGTAGTTGAAGCTCACAAAACACTTGGGGATTTCGATCCTCCCAAGAAGCCCAAAAGAAACAAGTATGCTTTTGGTTGCGCCATGTTGGCCTCCATGACATCCATTTTACTTGGCTACGGTGAGTCTTGTTATGCACAATTTACTCCTCTTGTTTTCTAATTCTAACACCTTCTGAAAACCCACGTCTGAAACATAAAACCAACCATCTGTTTCGGAGAAATTAACATAGTTTGTTAGGAGGGAAACAGGTTTAACATGTGCCGTGAAACGTACAGTAGACCTTATCCCGTTGGATAGGAAAAGGAAAAAAAAGAAGGGAAGAAGACTTTTGCGCAGAAAACAAAAAGAGAAAGAGTTAGTTTGGTGGGAGAAGATTTTTGAAGATTCTTTGGAAAAAGGGGAATCTCATAATAATAACAAAATTGAAAATTGGTAAGTGGTGTGTGTATGTAAGTGACAAAGTATAGATGACGATGATGACGATGTTGTTGTTATTGTTACAGATATCGGGGTGATGAGTGGTGCAGCCCTGTACATAAAGAAGGACCTAGGTGTGTCGGACGTGCAAATCGAGATACTGATGGGAATCATCAACCTGTACTCTCTGATAGGGTCGTGCCTGGCCGGCAGAACCTCCGACTGGATAGGGCGGCGATACACCATTGTATTCGCCGGCGTCATCTTCTTCGTCGGAGCACTTCTCATGGGATTCTCCCCCAACTATTCCTTTCTCATGTTCGGGCGTTTCGTGGCGGGCATCGGCATCGGCTACGCCCTCATGATCGCCCCTGTCTACACCGCCGAGGTCTCCCCGGCCTCCTCTCGTGGCTTCCTCACGTCCTTCCCGGAGGTAACCTTTTGTCACTAAATAAATATTATTGAATGAAAGTTGGTTCAACTTTGATACATTTATTCATTAAAAATTGATTTTGATTTTAATTTTGAGTTTGCAGGTTTTTATCAATGGAGGGATATTACTGGGATACATATCTAACTACGCATTTTCGAAGATGACATTGAAGTTGGGATGGCGAATGATGCTTGGAGTGGGTGCAATTCCTTCGGTAATCCTAACAGTGGGGGTGTTGGCGATGCCGGAATCTCCACGGTGGCTGGTGATGAGGGGGCGTTTGGGAGAGGCGACAAAAGTGCTGAACAAAACCTCGGACACGAAGGAAGAAGCTCAACTGAGGCTAGCCGACATCAAAGAAGCCGCAGGGATCCCGGAGAGTTGCAACGAGGACGTCGTTGAGGTAGCGAAACAAAGCACGGGTGAGGGCGTATGGAAAGAGCTCTTCCTCTATCCAACGCCCGCGATTCGTCACATCTTAATTGCAGCCCTCGGGATTCACTTCTTCCAACAAGCCTCGGGCGTGGACGCCGTCGTTTTATACAGCCCCAGAATCTTCGAGAAGGCTGGGATCACCGACGACACGCACAAGCTTCTCGCAACGGTGGCCGTTGGATTCGTGAAGACCATGTTCATCTTGGTGGCGACTTTTATGCTGGACCGCGTGGGTCGTCGTCCATTGTTATTGTCTAGTGTTGGGGGCATGGTGTTGTCGCTGCTCACGCTCGCAATCAGCCTCACCGTCATCGATCACTCGGAGAGGAAACTAATGTGGGCCATTGGATTGAGCATATCCATGGTGTTAGCCTACGTGGCGACGTTTTCCATCGGTGCGGGACCCATCACGTGGGTGTACAGCTCCGAGATCTTTCCTTTGAGGTTGCGGGCGCAGGGTGCGGCTGCGGGTGTTGTGGTGAATAGAACCACAAGTGGGGTTATTTCAATGACCTTTTTGTCCCTCACCAAGGCCATCACTATCGGTGGAGCTTTCTTCCTCTATTTTGGCATTGCCACCGTGGGCTGGTTATTCTTTTACCTCGTGCTTCCTGAGACACGGGGTAGAACACTTGAAGACATGGAAGGGTCTTTTGGTACTTTCAGAGCCAAATCCAACACCTACAAGGGAGAAAATGGAAATGCCCCACCCCACCACCACCAACAACAACAGCTCCAGTTGGGGACCAATCTCCAAACTTAAACAAATATTAGGGCATCGTTTAATAATGCAGTAAATGTGTGTTTCTTCTTTTTAGTGGTTTTCGAATCAAAATGATTCCAACGAGACTTGTCTATGAAAAAAAAAAATTACAATAATTACTTCTATGAACGACAAAGGTCCTCTCTTCACACCTATTTTCATGATTTTTTTTTTTACAGACTTTGTGACTTATTATTGGATAAATATACTCACTCATCTATAAAATGGCACAAATTAAGGAAGACACGAGAATAGAACTCAATATGTTTGTAATAATATAGTTATTATTATATTTTTAAAATAAGCATTTCAGTTGAAAACCACTTTAAAAATAATACCGACCATCTGCTTTGTTTGAATGTGAGGAGAACAAGGGAAAATAAAACACTTGTAAAGAAAGAAAAAGAAAAAAATAACTTTTTTTTTTTGGATGATCTGATTTAGAAAATGATAGGTGAAATTGATATAGAGACATATTTTTATCCTTATAAAAATATTTTGTCGTATTATTGGAAATAATGTAAAGTGACATACTGGGTAATATTATTTTAAAATATTGATTTGGATTAACTCTTATTCAAAATCTCTCCCCTGAAAAATAAAATACAATATTTCGACAACTTTTAACACTTTTTTTCCACTGCTTCAGTAGTAGTTCTGAATGGAAAAAAGTCACTAAAGCCTTAGCTTCTCTCTACCCTTTCTTTCACACAAAAATTACAATATAATACAGTGGTATAGTCAGTCACGTTGACTCCGTGTATTAATGGATGTATGTAAAGGAACCCATGAAGGTGGTGGGCCTAAGGAAACCCGATTAGAGGGCCCACCCATGGCTGGGGAAGTGAGGTAACTCAACTCCACGAGGTCCAACCATACAAGGGATAAGTGTATCGCTTGGTTACAATTTTTTCCTTTCTCATTTTCTATTTATTGTGTTTGGAAATCCTAAGTGGTCGACATTTTTCCTGCGCATTTGTCATTTGATGTAATTGTAATATGATGATGCTACAAACAAAGTTAGAATTGGGTCACATTTCCTTTTCTTTCATGTAAATTTTTCTTTGGTTTTTAACTCAATAATTTATAAACATGATTTTCTCTTAATTTTATAAACATTAATAATACGTGGTGGCCTTATTTATTCTATTGCAGTGAGGAGCAGCACCTAAAAAAATCAGTTTTTCTGACAATTCAACTTTTGAAGGTTTCTCGTCGAAATTTGCCGACACGGAATTGAAACTTGAAACCGTGGCTGAAGATGAAAATATGTGGTGAAAAAACAAAGACAATGTTTGCGTGGCTTCATTCCTTAAAACATGACATTGATCCTAATTTGTTTTGGTTAAAGAAGTAGGGTTGTTTGTCGTTGTGTGAGAGTGCCAGTTGTGAGGTTGATTAGCCATAAAATTTTCCACTACTGCGACAAAAGATGTTCAAGTTGAAGTTGTAGGGTAGGTTGATTCCATAATAATTGCTAAACACTAGGAAGCAAGCATGTGCTGTTTGTCTTTAGAATGACATGCAGGGGATAAGACAATGCATCATCCTAATTTAAAATATTAAAATTACTTGTTTACTATCTGAATCGTTTTAAATATTAACGGTGGATATTATTTTTAACTATAAATTTTAAACTCGTAAATCATAATTCATTTCGGTTTAAACAATTTTATATTTTAGTAACAATTTAGTTGAGTTCCAATTTGGTTTGGTTCCACCACAATCTTACTACTATATTAAGTATCATGATGAATAAACAATTAGAAAGATGTACCTACATCCACCAAATTATTTATTTTAAACTTCATATTTAAAAAAACAACTATTTTATTTTAGATCACCAACATATAATAAATCTCTGGTACAAATTTATAATAGGTTCTAAATTTCATCCCACGTAGAGTTAAGTTTAAAAGTAATATATATAATATTTTTAAAAATAAAATTATCAACGAATTAAAATTCAAAATAGATAATATGTCATGAAAATAAATTTTAATAATATTAATATTTATGATAAGACTAAAATATAAATCTCAGGTTTCTTCAATTAGAATTATTTATTAAGATATTTAAATAAAATATTACTTGTTTGAAAAACTTCTCATTAAACAAATATTATGGGACGTAATAAGTTTTTTTTTAGTTATTTATTCAAACATTTTTTAAATAAATAAATAAACCAAAATTGAGGAGAATAAAAAAAGAATGAATTTTTAAAATTTATTAAAAAAAATTCTTATAAAGTAAGATTAAGAGTTCCTTGCTGATGATATAGCTTGAATTGAATCCTCAAATGCATCCTATGTTCCAAAATCCTCATAAATCCAATATGATTTGATTCAAAATAAAATAATCTAAAATAGATAATATTGTAATAAATCTTAATTTAATTATCATAACGTTCATCAAATCAAATCTAACTTATTCATATATCTTTTCCAAGCGGATAAAACCAGATCAATCACACTAAAAATTTGAAACATATATAAAAATCTCTTGTACTGACCCTTGTCAATGTGAAAACCGTGGAAATTCCTAAAAAGGTCAAACCGTGGAAACGTGTATATATATTATTATCCTCCATATATTGATGCCTGAAGGTACTGTATGATTGCATAGGGCATGGCAAGAAGTGGACCACTTTTGTAGAGTTCTGCAGACTGCATGAATTGGGTTGTCTTGTGCTCACTATTCTCTGGATGAAATCTCTTGCAAAGATCACAGTAATTGGCTAAGTATCTCAGCAGTGACAGGGTACACAGTAATGACCCCATCATGTACAGCACAGCATGGCAAGGAAATTTAGTAGCCCTTAACACAGACAACATCTACAATAAAGGGAGGCACAACACAACACTCAGGTTTTCATAATTTTTCATCAAGAGAGAAACATTTGGCTCTTAGATAAAGGTGTGTTTGGTCCATGTCTCAGTCCCAGATATTTTTAAAAACTATTAGTTATACTGTTCTCATTTTGTGTATACTAATATTGATGTAACTTTTGCCTTTCCCACTGTTTCAAAACATTAATTTAACACAGATGGATCTTTAGTTATAGGAGAAATACACTGGAGACAGAGAAATATTGCAGATATAATAAACTTGATTTCTTTCATGAAAACCAGATTCATACCATTTCCCTTATGTAGTATACAGGATTTTCCTCACCACACCATCTAGTGAACGCCATTTATATGTATGTAAATGACATTATGATTGTGAACAGAGTGATTCCTGACGTGAATAATTAGATTCTGAGCCATACTGGTGACAATTTGATGCAAATAATGAGATTCCTGACATGAATAATGATAGTAGTGATTAGATTGTATTCATACAGGAAAGAGTCTTCTATAAACAGTGGCTTGAACAGCATCATTCAATGTCAGAAATATTTGCATGCACAAGTCTAAATTCTCAACATTAAAATGCTTATGATAAGTTCCACATCTACTTCTGTTTTTGTCATGCTCACAAGCAACCCATGACTGCTTCATTGGACCACCAATTTTGTCCAGACATTATTAGAGCTTTTTATATTTTTGTTATTCTTTTTAATGAATCTTCTACAAAAATTTATATTCGAACAAATTTTTTACATATTTTTTGTAAAATATTATACAAAATATAAAAAAGTTTAACAATGAGATAAATTGTTGCATATTATAGAAATGAATGATGGAAAAGTAATCATTGCAACAAAGCCTATGGGCTTCAGAAGGCATAGCTTGGTCCAAGATGAAAAAAAGAAGAAGAAGTGAAACAAACACGAAAATATCATTTATACACTGCCTATTTAAGAAAAAAATTACACCACTTATCCTTAAAATTTCTCATCTAAAATGTTTCAAATATAATCTACTAAATTATAATGCTTTTTGGATCATTTAAATATTCTATAATAAAATACTTATTTATTAATAAATAAATATATTATTATTAGTAAAAGGATAAAAACTAATTATTATTAAGTAATTAAAAATAATATTTAGATTATTATAAAAAAATAAATAAATTAAGTAATAATAAAAAGATATAATTAGAAGAAATAATAATTAAAAAAATAAGAATCTTTATCTCTTTCAAGAGATATGCATAAGAAAAAAAAGTAAAAATTTAAAACTAAAATTTGTATTTATCTATTTTATTATATGCAAGTTAAAAAAATAAAAATAAAATGTAGTCATAATTATAAACAGGAGTTTTGGGGAAGAACGGAAGAGAAGAAAACGGAGAGAGAATGCAAGAAAAAAGGAAGAGAGAGAAAGGGGAGAGAGAATGCAAGAAAAAAAAGGTAAGAGAGAGAAAAGGGCGATAGAGAAAGAAAATTATTTTTGGGTTGCTAACTATTACATAATATCATAATTAGTAGTATGAACTACTAATTATCATGTTATAACAAGAAAAAACCTTGAATTGTTACTTATAATTTGTGAACGAAATTTAATTTTACATTCTCGCAGTAGATTATTTACATTAATGTATTTTTGTAAAACTAATTATTTATAAGTTGTTTTAATTGTTTAACTTAGTTAAAATATAATTACAATTAACTTCAAAATACAAACATTTAAAAAATATTTAAATAGTGACAGATAAAATAAAATACTAATTTACTCTTACTCTATAAAAAAACATTTTTCTTTTAAGTAATAAATAGCTATATGAAATCATTTGGAAGAGATAATTAAAATTTAAATATGTTTAATATTAGTTTCTTTAAAGATATATATATATATTATGAGTAGTAAAGCCAGTACTGATTTTTAGGGTTTTTTTAGTGAGTTGAACCTAAATAATAATTTTAATATTTCTTTAAAATATAATCTGTGAAGGTTTTCCTTTTTTTTCTTTTTTTTAAATTTGTCATTTTTTTCTCTTTAAAAGTGAGTCTTGTTATTTTTTTCCTCTTTAATTAGTGTTTCTCACCCTTTTAAGATAGTTAGGAGAAAAACATAAAGTCACTATCTTAATTTTCATTTTTTAAGCTATTTTACTTTTTCTTAATTTTTGTTTTATTCTTCCGAAAGAATATTGATAGAAAACGAGTCATGTAATTTGATTGAAAGTGTTTTATAATTATATGATAAAATTATAAATATATCAAAAGAAATAATTAAAAGATGGACAGACCTTAAAAAATTATAATATTGACAAAAGTAAATGGGAACGTAAAAAATAAACTTAATATAATAAGTTAGAATGTGTGGATGAAAATATAAATTGTGAAGGTTTAGAAAATACTCGAAGGAACGTATTATCAAAAATAAGATTAAAGAATAAATGGAAAAATAAATTGATACAATGTAATTAGTTAAATATCAAAAATTAAAAAGTTGAAGACATAAAATAAATTGACAAGTACAAAATATAGAAGAAATTATACAATTGAAAAATATATAAAAATATTTATTATCTCACAATGTAAGTGTTATTTGAGAAATAAAACAGGTTGAGGAAAGAAAAACAAATATAAAAATTAATAATTTGTAGATTTTTATTATATTTTACTGTATTTTATTTGACTTAATTTGAATTTATTTTTTAATTTTCTTTTATATTTAAATGTTTTAATGATTATAAAAAAATATAAATAAAATGAAATAAATATAAAAATGAATTATTATTAAATTATACCAAGATTTCCATTATAAAAAAACATCTACAAATAAAGATTTTATTTTTTAATAAAAAAATTTATAATTTGAATTGTCATCTTTATTTATTTTTTTATAATATTTTAAACTTACGTTTATTATTCCATAATTTACCTTTATTCATACTTCTATCATTCTTTTAATTTATTTAAATATTATATTATATGATTATTGAATAATTAATATTAATTATATATAAATTTAGAAATTCGTGTTTAATAATAAAAAATAAAAAATTCACGTAATGTTTAAATTCATCGCATAGGTTTAGTTTATTTAATCAAAGAATCATTTATAGTATAAACAATTATATTCACTATAAAGTAATTTATTTATTTTTTCGGGTTTAGTTTATTTAATCAAATAATCATTTATACTATAAACAATTATATTTCCTAGAAAGTAATTAATTTTTTTCGACTATTATTGATTCGTCTTCTTCTTTAAAACTTGTATATTTAAAAAATGAAAAAAATTATCTTTTTTTTAATTAACGTAATTTCAATTTTTGAATGGGTGAATTTCGAAGAAAAGAATTGTGACTGAATTTATAAGTAAAACAATTAACACATTTCTTGTCGGTTTACTGTAGCTGTGACATTTAGTAATATATATATATATATATATATATATATATATATATTTAACATTTTTATAATTTAATAGTCTTAATTATTAAATTATAAAAAATTAATTATGAAGATGAAGAACAAAGGTTTATTCTATTCAATTTCAAAAAATAAGTTAAAAAAAATTATTTATAACTCTATTTCAAAAAATTATTTTAGACAAAATAAGATAATATAAAAGATAATAAAAGTCGCAAATGGATATAATATAATATATGAATATCTAGAAAACTAAAAATAAAAAATATTTTTTAAAAGTTTTATTTTTTAATTTTTAAAATTTAAAAACTCTATTTTTTTAAAATTAATAAATAAATAAATTCTAGTTATCTAACATTACTTTTTTATTATTTTATATATTATATATTTATTTTTCTTAATTTTTTATTTTATTAATGCATTTACTCAATTTCTCTCACCAACTTTTACCTAACAATTTAAATCATATTCACATGTAATTAAAAATGAAAATTAATGAACACCTTATGATACAATGATTGTCATCTTCTTTATTCTTCAACACCTCCAAAATCATTACAAATCTTAAAACTTTATTCACTCATATCATAATAGCAAAAAACATAAAATAATAAATTTTTTTTTTTACCGTAAAACAATGATAATCATTAACCCCTTCTAAAGAAAAAAAAATTATATTATAGTAGACATATTTGTGTCATTAATATATATATATATATATATATATATATATATATATATATATATATATATATATAAAGTACTACTAAATGTTATAGAGAAGATAATAGAAATTAAAAATTTATTATTATTTTTTTATTTTCTGCAAACAGAAGAAAAAAAAATTAAAAGGCAATATAAAGGCAGAAAAACCAATTAATAAGAAAATAAAAAAATTACGGAAAAACTGGAAATTTATATTTATTATTTTATATTTTATATTTGTAATTAATATTAATTAACTTGTGTCTTAAGGAGGTAGGTTAACAATAGTATGAATAATTTATTTTATATAATTACTTTTATTAGTAAATAATTTAATTTTATAATGAATAATTTAAGTTTTGATATAAAATTATTTTATTGATAAATATTTAGGAAAAAAACAAAAATAATTTAGAAAAAAAAATAGAAAAGGAGATGAAGAAAATATAAAAGGATAAATATAAATATTATAATTGTTAGATATTGTTTAGATATTATTTGATATGGTTAAGATATTGTTAGATATTGGTAACCACAATATCAAACAATATCTTCTCGTTTATTATGTTACTTTCGATTACTCTTTTAGTTGTATCTCTCTACTATAAATAGATCACCCTATGTGTGATTTATACACAATGGAAATTAATTCCAAACCCTATTTTCTCTATATTCAACATGGTATCTAGAGCTTAACGTTATCTTGAATTTTTTTTTCCGCCTTTTGTCCACTGTTGGAGCCGCCCCACCGCTACTAGAGTCGCCCCACCGCTGCTGGTAAACTGATCCTCCACATCAGAAAAGAATTATCTTTGTTACTGAATTTTATTTGGTAGTGTGAAAGTGCATGTTTAGGAAAGTTCTGGCAATGAAAGACTTGGTATTTAAGTGTATCCATTAGTGACCTACCTCTCTTTCCTGGGAACTTACCTGGTGTACTAGTTCACGTTGTTGTCACCGCTGCCGCTGGAGCAGTCACCAGATCCGCCGCTGTCGGAGAATTCGCCGGAGTTTCATTTTTTTTTTACCGGTGACATATGATTTTGCTTGTCTCGGTCAGGTGACCACCGTGCCATTGAGATCACCACTATCGGAGTTGGTCGTCCCATTGTCTCCTGCGCCGTTTAGTCTTGGCGAACTTATTTTTAGTATTCTCATTTTGGATTTGTGCTTCGTGGGTTAATTGGATTACTTTGGATTGTTTTAGGGTTTGTTCTCCCGCTCTTCATGACTTCTTCCACTTCTTTCACTATTTCCAATTTTGTTAACGATTCTTTTGTGTTGACATCCCATCGTGATGACCGGGCTCGCCCTCGCAAACAGAAAAAAGGGCGTCCTAAGTGTGAACATTGTGGCAATCTAGGTCACAAGATTAACAAGTGTTATACATTACATGGTCGTCCTCCTCAATCTGCTGTAGTTGTTCAGACCAATCTTTCCCCACCTTTATCTGCAGGGGATTTTCCTTCTTCTATTGCATCCGACATGCCTGCTATGTTCAACAAATTTCTCGAATGGTATAAGGAT